ATTCGGGTTCTCTGACCTCAGAAACGTCCAGAAAACATGTTTTTGAGGTTTCGTAAATTTTGACCTATTGCAATACTTTCCCCTTTCACACTAGGTGTGTGCGGAAAAGTAAAACGAGTAGAACTCTTCTCAGAAGAAATTTCAGTACCAATGAAGCGCATATTTTTTTATTCAATGATGAAAAAAATCATTCAAAACTGAATTCATATATGAAATGGTTAATTTCGAGGAATGTAAACATTCGTTTGTGATTCTTACCTTTTCCATCCAGTGTGTGCCTTGCTCATCACCTTCACCGCACACCAAATACTCTTCGGCGCAAACTTTGCGAATTTCCTCTTTGAGTCCGGTCATTTCTGCGCGAGTGTAGCTCACATTTGGGAAAACATCACTGAGCAATGAGAATAACAATGGGATGTCCTCGGCCACAAGTTTTGGCACCAATGTTTCGCACACCGATTGAATAAGGATCTCTTGTTCTGGTAGATTTTCAGCAATATGTGCCTCATCGATATTGATTTCACCTTGATTTTGCTTCGTTTCCTGCGAAAATAAAGCAATTGTTTACACTCCTGAACGGATCCATTCAATAGCAACACTTTTCACTATGTCAGACTCACCTTGATTCGCATAATACGGTCACGTTTAACATTACCAGCCGACACGAGTACCGATTTCAATGCACGCAAACCAAAATCGTAATGCGATTGATTCGACAGTTGTTCATCGCATAGTTTAAAGAATGGCACGATTTTGCATGCCAATTTTTCAGCCGTGCGGAAACCTTGACTGAACAACATAACTTCGGCGATAAGTTGACGATCTGGCGTTGTCATTGCCAATGAACGGAATAATTTTTTCAAATTATCCGGCAAATTGCTACGGCCAGCATAACCTGGATTCATCGTTATGAAAATTGCCATATCGGTTGATACACGCACTTGTTTGCCAACCAATTCAACGCTTAAACTTTGTGTGTCTTTGTTATCATCTTGGAATTGTTTGAGAGCTTCTTGAATGGTTTGGATTTGCTGTGACACAGCTGACAACATACGTTCTTCCAAACGATTGAATTCTGTAGAAAGAAAACAATAAACGAAAATCCAATCAGAATTTATATAAATTTCAAAAAAAAAAATGTTTTTCAATAAAACATACCATCGAAACAACCCCATGCACCAACTTGACATAGACCGACAAAAATTCGGCCCATTGCTTGAAAATCGAATGTTTCATCGCAATTGAAGACGAGCACAAACCGTCCCAATTGATGACCAAGAGCTTTGACTGATTCCGTTTTTCCGGTTCCAGCCGGTCCGAATGGTGAACCACCCAAACGAGATTCAAGGGCTTGTGTCATTGTCAAATAGCATCGATCTGTCAATGGTGTCTGTACTAGACGATCTTGCACACCCAAATATTCAAAACCATAGAAGAAACGTGCGTTTGCCATGTGAATTGTTAACTGTTGCAAGACCTCGCTTTGACGTGGATCAAAGTAGAATCGCATCTCACAAAGCCATTCAAACGATTTGTTGCTCGCTACATTGTTGGCCAGTAAACGACGTGTCACTGTACGTTTGTGTACGAATTCGTTGATCTAAGGGCAGGAGAATCGAAAAATAATAAGAAAATCAATTTCTAGAAAATGATTGCTGTTGTGTTGTCTCTTACCAAATGCTCCAATTTTCTTCGACGAAGTGGTGGTTGCTCCATCAAAACCGAATCAGCAAGAATGGTCAATGTTTTTTCCACTGTGGCCAAAACACGATGCAATGGATTTTTGGCGGGAGCAGTATCACCGCCTTGCTGTAATGCTGCCTCAACATCTTCCGACCATAAAATTTGTGCGGCCAAAACGACAATTTGCGCTTGATACTTATCACACCAGTCCATGTATTTTTCTTGGTCTATGTCACCTTCTTTGAATTGTTTTATGTCTTGTACGGCTTGAGCGAGATACGATGCCAAACTGAATCGCATTTCCTTTTCCACCAATGTTAACCATTCGTTGATCTTTGGATGATCGACAATTGAAACGGGTCGAATAAATTGCACTTCTTCACCTTCACGCGATGCAATGCCCAGTACAATTGTATTGTCTTCATTTAAAATGATTGTTGCAACGCCGGCAAACATTTTTTTGAAATGTTTTTGCAATCGGGCCACATTTTTGCTGTTGCCAATAATTTCCAAAAGATCTTCGTCACCAACGAAATAGAAACGAGGGAATGATGTACGCTCACGTTCCAAGTATTCACCCAATGCCTTCTGAATTTTTCCCAATAAATCGGCCAATCTGGAAGAGAAATTTAGTTTTAGAGAAATTTTTTGGAGAATTTGAAAAAAATTGGTGTTACCTTTCGAGTTGACGTTGTACGTTGACGATGTTCAAAACGTCCATAACTGAAATTATGGGTGGAAATAAGATAGTATTTAGTTATATGTTTTGAATAAAAATGAATAAAACTGTTACCTTTTGGTGATTTGGCGACTTTTTTCATTAACGACAAAAATTCGGTGCTCATGCTATTGAAACGCTGGGTTTCGACCGGTAACAATGTCTTAATGTCGGCACTACCCGAAAAAATGCCTTCCAAATAAACCCAACGCCGTTGTACATCAATCCATACATCAAACAATGCATTGATTCGATTCAATTTCTCTTCCCAAGTGAGTGCTTCTTCTTCGAAGACTTTATAGTATGGTGACAATTTCATAGCGGCCACTGAATTTATGTGTTCTTTAACTTTGTTGAATAAATCATCCCAACCTCTGATGATGCGACATTTATTCTGATAATTGATCAAATCCAATTCATAGTTTGACCATGACTCGCGCACTTGTTTCAAGAATTCTTCAAGCGCCATTTCACCTTGTGCCACCAAAATGATGTCTTTTACAATGCTTTCATTCTTCAGTAAATTCACATCCCACACTTGGCCCAATGTCAATTCGGACAGCACCCAATTGACACGAAGTTGCTTGGTCAATTGTTTCCAATGGCGTTCTAATGTACAAATAGAAAAATACAATGAAAATAAATATTACATTTTTGTTGTAAAACTTAATTACCTTTCAACGCATCCGATTTTAATTCGACGATCAGCATATTCACTTTAATGTAGCTCTGAATCAATTTTTTCACGTACTCATAACTTTCGTACATTCTTAAACGAGCCGGCAATTCTTTGAGTTGACTCATCATTGTCTCGAGTGCTTGCCGTAGTTTACGTGGTTGAACTGATAGCCATGGTTTTTCGCGAGTTTCATCGATTTGTGTCCAAATTTTGGATAATTCACTCCAAACACCACGTAAGTCTTGTAATTCTTCCAAAACCACTGACATTCGTTCCGAACTATTGTTCGGTACAGCCGATTCTTGTAGTTCAAGCGCTTCTTTCGCTTTGGCAACATTGTCTCGTTCTTCCTTCAAACGCGAGAATTTACTTTCAAACAATTGTAATTGCTGTAGTGCCTCGTCGGGTCGAGTCTTGCCACCGATTGGCTTGTTGTGTTCCCAATCATTCAAGAAATCAACCGTACGTGTTTCGACCGCTTTATCTTCAGCAACAATTTTCGCTTGCAAACTGGCCACTTGTGTTTGTATGGCCGAATCTTTGCGTTTGATTATCTCGTTGAATGCCGACCATTCACCTTCGATATTATCGACATGCAACCAATTATTTGGAAATTGGAAACGTTGACGTTGCAATATTTGTTCGGCCTCTTGGAACACTGACACCTGTTTCTCCCAGGCCAAACGCTCTTTTTTCAATGATTGCACATAGGTTATGAAACCCACTGCATCCGATGTACTTGCGGCTTCTGTATAGACGAAGAAGAAATATAAGTCAAAGTTGAATACATCTCGGCCATGAAATAGAAAAAAAATCACTCTTACCAATGCTTTGCATTTCCAGATCACCGCGAGATTTCGAGACTTTGGCATGGAATGATTGCATTTCATTGCCCAAAAGTGTACCGAATTTGCTGAGCGCCTCTTTGTGCCACGAATCATACTTCAATGTGACCTTTGCTTGCACTTTAGCATAATCAATGACAATTGGACCATAAGCACGACGAGTATCTGACGTATCGAATGTTGTACGAGATTTTCTATAGAACGTCAAAGCGAAAGTAGATTTTATTATTGAATTGAGAGTACGAACTCGATTTTTTTCGATCTTCAACGACCCACCATTTTAAACTTCTACAGTAGAACTTCATTTCAACAATATTCATGCTCTGAATAAAAAAAAATCACCACTTACTTGATATCGTTCAAGCATTTGATCCACAAATTGATGTCGTCACCAAGACGACCGTACAGAATGTCAGCTTGAAGATCCCATAAGCTCTGATATCGAAGCCATTCATCAACATAGTTGCGAACTTCCGAAACTTTTGTTTCGATGGCTTCATATGCACTTTCGAGTGGTTGTGACCCAGTCGGCAACTTTATAAGCAATGTTCGGTATGTTTGATGCGTGGGTTTATCCAAACCGACGTGATATCTTGTGAAGTAAATGAGTAAAAATAGCGATTACAAATGCTGATCAAATACCAAAAAAAGGTACACCCGCCTTACCTTGAGCTCTGCAGCCGAGTTTGTGACGTAACAATAGCTTCCCATGCGAACAATTGTTGTGTAATCTGGAACCGTGCCTCTTCAATCGATGGATACAAATACATTTGTTGATTTGTGATACGGATTTCATGAACGGCATGTTGAATCTTCGGATCACCGCCTGGCTTGTGAGTTGGTGCCGACGGTGCATCCGTATCCATAGACAAATCCATATCTTTCTTATTGCCGGTCAAAGCTTCAGTCCAAGCAACAATACCAGCCTGCAATCGGGATGCCAATTTCTTTTCGACCTCTTCATCGAGACGAGCGACCCATACATGTAAATTGGAATATTGTCGCAATGACAAATCATCGACGGCATGTTGAATCTTCGATAAAATATCGGCAAATGTGGCTGCACTATATGGACATGTTTCTAGTGAACGAACATCAACGTCCAGTTGTTCCTCGACAACCAACAAATCTTCAACCTTCTCTTGGAATTGAATCACACATTCCGAAAAACGTTGAACGTATTGTACGAGCTTGTAGCTTTCCCACACCAAACCAACACCTTCAGCAATCAATGCTTGAACATCTTTTCGAAGTCCAGCCACCAAAGGCACTATCGACGCTTTCTCTTCAATCTAAATGATGAAATTCAATTGTATTAGAATCGATCGTAAAAATAGTGAGGAAAAAAATTCGATTTGATCAAACTACAAGGGAAAAAGATATTGGCTTTTTTTGTGTGATTATTGTTGTAATGATTTATGTGGTAAACTAGTTTCTTTTTGGCTACCTTGAATACGGAATTCGAATTTGTATGTGCTAAATTCCTATTAAATAGCTGCATGAAAAAAGAAAGATGATTTTTGTTTTTGTTTGGTTCTCATTTGGCGCAAATAAATTGTTTTAAAGATGTTATGAACATTGTGATCTATTGACAGTGGTTTTGGATCGAATTCGAATGATAGAAATAAAATTGGTGCAAATGCAAACGAATTTTGAAACCGAATTTTTTTTGTTGCAAAACAACTTTTAAATGCAAAGAAACTGGAAAAGCAATTGAACTGTGAGCCAATACGAATCAAGTGAATAGAAGCTGATGTAAAATTAAAAAAAGCCACAATAACACGATACAAATTGAATTTGGGTTTCGTTCTTTCGGTTTACCTTTTCCAATGTTCTCTCATATGCTCGAACTGATTCGATCAAACTGACGGCGAACGGGTAGGTTTGATTTGCTTGATGTGCTTTGTTCACGATTGCCAATGGGATTCTGCAAAGATGAGTAGTTGAGTTAATTTACACCTCAAAAAGATAGACATTGAAAGTCATACCTGAATCCTAAGTTTCTCAAATTTCGTACTTCCTTGTACAGCGTGATGATTTCGGGTAGGAAATTTACTTTCAACTTTAGAATATTTCCGCGGCCAGTCCGTGATCGTGCCGAATCAATGGCAAAGATACGACCACCATTATAGCCAAAATTACGTTCTTGCACTTTACGTGCCCAATCTTGAAATACTTCGCCCGTTTGTAATTTTGCCCGAAAACTATCGCCATCCGCTTTCAATTTCTGTCCTTCGATATGAGATTCCCATCCTTTGCCCAAAACATCTTCAACCCGTTTCAAATACGTTGTGAGCTGATTATCAATCTGACGAATCCAAATAATTGAACCGGCTACTGGTGGTAAATCACGCACCACAGACAATCGACAACTCTTGCTTTGAGGATATTGCACTTTGAATTTCTCATGCAGTGCTTCAATGTCGTCTTTGACACGTTGAATCAATTGGGTTTGATATTCACGGATGGCACCACGAATGTGCGGACGCACAAATAGGGCATTGAAACGCGAGAATATACGGAACATTTCGTTGGCATTTTTGGCCGTTCCAAGTTGATCACGCAAATGAGCTGTGATACGGGCTTCGACACGGTCTGTGGAAGTAATCGGATACATTGTTTTTCTTTAGAATTTTTTTTCCGGATGATGAACATTTATTGTTAGAGTAAGAGCGTTCGACTCACCTATCCTTTCATCGTAACGCTTAACAGCCGCATCCCATGCATCGCATCCTTCTTTTGAAATGTCCAAACATTCGACCTCTTTGACATTTTCATAGGCCAGATTTACCTCTTCAATGGCATTGGCATCGGCTGTTTCCAAGCTATATGGTTGTTTGACATCTGCTCCAGGCTCATCTACGATTAAAGAATGTTTTACGATTATTATTTTTTTACGATCAATTTTTCTCGATGTAAATTTTTTTACGATCAATAGCTGGTTTGCTCATTGGCCGAAGTACGCGCAAAATGACTGTACGCAATTGTTCGTGTTGTCTACGGAATTTGCGCATTTCTTCCATGCGTTGTTGCAATTTCTTGTGATTGGGTAGCACTCGCCAAACCGACTTGATATGTTCATCGCGCTTCTTCTTCACCAAATCGCGTAACAATTGTTGAAGTTTATCATATTCATCATCCCAGCAACCTGCAATAAAGGCGCGTCACTTACAATGGTTTTTATCAAATTTAAAAATGTCCGTTAAATCACTACAAACCGAATATTTCGAAGCATTGATTCATCACACGTTCAAATTCATCGAATGGAATATGCATCAAACGACGAGTTCCAAGCACCTTCAATAGCTGTTGACTTAAATCACGTGATATAGCTTCGATCAATCGCAATGCACGTTGAATGGGATATTTGGTGCTGCGCATTTTTCGTAAATGCGTAAAAGTCGATTGGACTGCTGACCGAATTTTTTCCAATTCAGTAGCCGACAGTAAATCATTGATTGGGAAATCTTTCATCAATGGATTGTAATCGGCAACCATAGCTAGAGCTTGTTTCAGACCGGTATCGGTATCAAATGATACGGTTGCATGGAACCGTTTACCATGCTTCAAAATGTCAAGAGTCAATGCGACTTCGGGTGATTCACGTTTCTCTTGAATGCGATGCAATGCACGCTCCAAATTCAACCAGAATGAAATCTCTTGCATTGCCGTTCCCGACGATGGATCACGATCCAATTTGGTGACTTTTTGTATTTCTTTTATCCAACGATTGACACCATTTTGTAATGTATTCAAAAATGTTGAATCTTCCACTTTGTCACCGAAATCAATTACCTTTGCCTTACGACCTTCGTCAGCACACGCTTTTATCGTTTGCAATACAACCGTATTAATTGTTAAAGTGATTTCAGGAATGTCAATGTTTTGCTGCAAATGCAACAAACCCATTTCTAATTCGGCCATCTTTTTCTCAACCGATGGTGCCATTTTATCACCGTCATCACCACGACCCGACTCTTTTACATAGCTCTTGAAATACGGTGCCAACGATTTACTAATGAAGGAATGCAATGTTTCGTATGGTGATCCTTCCGAAAAGTTGATTAGACGCATTTGGCTATGAATCGATTTATCGGCTTCAATTACAGCACCACGTTTGATACACACCAACGATGCGGCACGTGAGTTTGTGAACTGCACATCATTGCTGATTGAATAGGTAATCGAACTTTTTTCCTCTTCACCTTCTGATGCTTGCTCATTTTCATCATCTATCCGATGAAAAATTGAACATAATTGGATTGTTATCATTTACAAAGTTAGAATTGATAAAAAGAAATGTGAACGAATTGTGGAATTATTGGCATACATGGGAATCATCGTTTTTTTAAAAGAACTGATTGTCGCTATGAGAGCAAAAATATTCATTCACAAACGAAATCACATAACCAAACATCATTTTTTTTCTATTTACATTGTATCGGTCACATGTGTGAGAGGTGAGCACAACTAACAAAAAATGGCAGTTAATTACATGATAACTGAGTTGTTGTTGGCAGAAACACTCTTTTTACAAAAAAAAATAGAAAAGAATGTGTTTTCTAAGCAAACACAAGGAAAAATGACGCATTTTCTTCAAATAATACCTAGAAAATCAGTTTTTTAACGAAATTTAATGCCGATGATAAATAATAACGCAAAAATATTTGTTACTCTCAGAAAAGTAACATATTTGTACTGACATCATTCATTCAAACGAAACATCGTGTTCCAAATGAAATGCCGATTAGTTTGTTTGTATTCAAAAGAAGAACGATTAAAAAAAAACATGAAAAAAATGCTATTCCAATAACATCAGCGAATAATCAAATTCCACAACCGTAAATCATATGTTGCGTTGCATATGTGTATGAGAAATGAAGACGAAGAACGAAAGGAAAGATATTCAGTCGCGAAAATGACGCCACTTACCTTTTGAGCATGTACGTTGAATGTATAGCGCTTGTATTTGTGAATCGGATAGAAATTTTTTGATGCAATCTTGATTGATTTTATCATCGAGTACAGCATTTAATGCTGGTGCTGTTGCATCTTCTTCTGGTAAAAGAATAGTAGCTGCCTTCAAAATATAATTGGCAAATTCACCGTAATCGACAATCGCAACATTTTGCGTTTCCGACGTGTCGTCAAGCGAATCGCCCATCTTCTTTTTTTCACCTTATACGCCTTGATGGCAATGTGAAAAAAACAAAATTGTTCAAATAAAAAGGCAAATTGCACACGATGTTCAAATTGATTTGTGCATAAATTTTGCCTTTTTCCCACTTAACGTTAAAATATTCACTAAAATGTATCAATTAAATTGAGTTTTTCTGTTTAAAAAAATTCACTTTGAAAATCCAATAAAAATGTTTTCCGCTGCTGTACGCCTCGACGTTTAGCATTAAACTGTGTGTGACTCACCAATGCAATTCCAACACAATCGCATATATACATTACGTTCATATAAGATTGTATGTCATCGATTGACAGTTGAAACTTGGTGAATGAGCGCTCAGCACATCGGGCAACATTTGTTTTGATTTCACTTTGACAATTCAATCTGCTGTCTACTGTCTGCACTGTGTATGTGTTTTTTCATCTCATACGATTTAGTTGGTTGAATGCCGCTATCAGATTATTTTTATTACAATTTTTGTCGTCGAATGCATTCAATCAACCGTTAGAATTTTCATTTAAAAAAAACAACAACAACAAAATGCATTTAAATTTAATTGTACAACAGTTAGTGTTTAGTATATTTTTAATCAATATTGTTGAATGCTTTGAACCAATTACTATGACAGCCCTCGGTACAGCGGTCGCAGGTAAGCTAATGACATCATAGTTTGTTTTCACTGTGTTGAATGTTTTTTTAGTGCATTTAAATTGACATTAAATTAAATAGTACAAACATTCCCAAAAAAACAACAATTATTTTATTTTTCAGGTGCTGGATATTGGCTGTTCGGTGATGGTGGAACTAAGAGGAGAGAAAAAGTAGCCGACACCCTAAACTATTGTAGTTATTACGAATGTTGTACACCAAAGCACATTGTATATGATATAGAAGGATTAAAAGCTGATTTACAGAAAAAGTTATTCGGACAACATATTGTGAATGCCACATTAATTCCGGCGCTTCGTGCTCATGTCAAAAATTTACACAAATCCGAAAAACCCTTGGTGATGAGTTTTCATGGAAATATCGGCACCGGAAAAAATCATGTTGCCGATTTAATCATCAAGCATTTCTACAAAGCAGGCGAAAATAGTACATACGTGTACAAGTATCGGGCCCGAAAAGATTTTCCAGTTGAAAGCGAAGTGGATCAATATCGCGTAAGACTGTTTTTGATAAAAAAAAAATTATTCAATCCAATGATAAATCGTTTGATTTTTCTTTTTCCACTGAATTTCAAGTCAACTGCAATGAAATTCCTTTGCTTCAACACATAAAAAATACCATTTCAAATCCATTCAATTTCAAATCAATCACTGCAGGTCAAACTAATGGATGACATCAGCAAAGCGATTAAAAAATGTGCACGTTCCATATTTGTGTTCGACGAAGTTGAAAAGATACCGGCTGGTGTGTTTGAATCGATTGCATCAATTTTGGACTATCACAGCCATGTTAGTGGTATGGATTTTCGTCAAGCGATCTTCATTTTTCTCACAAATGCTGGCGGCGATGAAATTGCCCATGCTCTCGATAAAATCATGGAAAAGGGAACATTTCGTGAACAAACAAAAATGAATGATTTTGAATATATAGCTGAAATTGCAGCGTATAATATAAAAGGTGGCCTGAAGAAATCTAGCATCATAACATCAGGTCTAATCGATCATTTTCTACCATTTTTGCCATTGGAACGACGACACATTGAAAATTGTGTTCGAGCTGAATTTGAAAAATTGAACCGAGAACCGGAAGAGGATGAAATAAGGTAAATTTTATTGATTTGACGAAGGTCTTCTCTTTTGGTATGATTTTGTTTACTATAATTGTGATATTGTCTTATTGTTGCAGCCACATCATTGAAGAATACGTATCATACCAAGGACTGTTCTCAAAATACGGGTGCAAGAGACTTAATAAAAAAATTCAAGCGATGACCGAAGAATGGTGATTCATGATAGCGAATAGTGTTTACTTTTATAGCCATCTCTGTTCTTTTTTTAGGAATTGTAAATAAATGTCGATTGTAATTTTATTTCACACATACTATTGTCTCTATATTACTTGAGAAACGCAAGCAAATTCAATTGATTATTTGAAAAATCCACATCGATACCACTGTTGGAAATAAATATTGATTTTAGAGTTATTAAATGTATTCAGTTTTTTTTATTTGTAAACGTTTGGAATAGTTAATAAAACGGCACAACATTTCATGCTTTCATTTCACTTGCGATTAATGCTTACGGTTACTTTCAAGTAAAGATCCTAGATCACTCCATTGTGCCAAATTTAGCAAAAATAGCTCCTTCCGTGATTCCTGTTGAATGATGAAAAAATATGAAACCATAAACGGATGGATTAAGTCCTTTTTTAGAAAGTCAATAAAGATTTTCCATCGATTGTACATGATGTCAATTTGTTTAATGTTTCGTTTTTGAATGTTGGATTCAATAAATACTTGATATCGTTCAGAGATGAATCAATAATTTCCTAGTTATCCGGCAAACAATAGAATTTTAAATTGTCCAAATTCAAAAAAACATTATGTGAATCGGCCACTGAATGTTTATATGCCTGAGTATTTATCCCGCTACCCTGAAAGTATTTGACGCACACAAGGCATATGTGTAAACATTAATTCGCGTCAACGACATGGAACATAATTTCTCAAAATCAAAATCCAATAGATTTCGATTTATTGTATCCAAATTACGAGCATTGCCTTGATTTTGGATTCTCTTCCACCACACGAGGTCCGGTGCTGCTTCTTGAATATTTTGTATTTTGTTAGAAAATAGAATACTTTCTATTCTATTCGATACCGAACATATTTTTTTGGTCTCGAACTTTACGCCGCTTGAAAGGCTTGAAAAATCGAACAAATATTATTTTGAACTCGCTTAATAAAATACGCATCTACTCCTGTAAGACTCTTTATTTACTTTATAACTTTTTATTTAATTCAAAAATGTGTTAAAAGTCAATCAAAGGGACTTTATCGTTTAGATTTAGTTTTAAAATATTTGTTTAGTGTGATTAAATCTTAATCTAATTTAAAATTGATTAACGATCCATGGTTTGACACGATCATACACATCGTTTAACATGTCCATTGCATCTTTTCTTGGGTTATTAATTGATTTTAAACCATCATTCGTTAACTCCGTGCAAGTAACTGAGTTATTATGATTTAGTTCAGAACTTATTGTTTGACTAAAAACAGACAATACACATTGGTTATTATTTATTTAAAGGAACATAAAAAAATCAACATTCGTACCCTGATTTGGCAAAATCTATAAAATATTTTGGCACAAACCGCATTGCTGCTTTTGTTTGTATATTTCGATGATCATTCGGATTTTTTTCAATATTTTCGTACAATTCTTGATACGCATAAGAACTAAAATGTTTTAAGTTAAATAAAATATAAAAAAAAACCAATTTAATTTTTCTCACTGGAACAAGTACGGCAGTTCCTCCATATGACCTATTCCTTGAACCATTTCTAGACCTCTTTCTATTTTGACGAAATTCAAATTTAAGTCGAAATTCGAACTAAAGGAGTTTGAAAGAGTTTTCGTCAGATATCGTTCAAAATTTATTTGCAAATAAAATGTGGTCCTTTGATAATAATAAATATATAATTTTACACACTTACTAGTAGCAAACCGTCTTTGTGCTCTTATGTAGTTCCATTGAGTCATAAAACGAATATACAAAATTAGCATCAGATAGCATCTGTACGTACTGATTCAAATAATAAACGTTCTTTTGAATTTTCTCTTTGCCAAAATAGAATTCATAGATTACTTGCTGCATCTCTTTATATAACTAAACCATAACAAAAATCTCTTTAAATTTTTATATTTGTGTACGTGAGAATAAATCTTGGAAAAATCTTCCAAACTTTTACCAAAGAATTTTTTGGCAGAGTCAATCCACGGAAAGGTAATCTAATACTCGAGCTATTTGTGAGTGAATCGACCCAAACATATAAGTTCGACGGAACCAATAGAGACAAAGCTTCCTGTATATGGATGTTTTTCCACGTTTTTATACAAGTATGATTCGCAAAAAATGTGATAATTAAAACATACCGCGCTTGTCACACCGAATAACATTTCTGTATCAATGTGGGTTGTTTGAGAAATAGCTCGTGGTCTTTCGATTAAAAATGGGTCAACGGCCAAGGTCTTATCTATTTGTAAATCGAATAAAGTAAAAACTATTGAATGGCCAAGAAAAAAGCAATTTTCAAATAAAATTTAAACAAACTTTCAATAACCGCTCCCCAGTAAAGTTCCAACACATTTGTGAAAAGTGTATTAGCGGGCGTTTTCTGCATGAGTACATCAAGAGAAGCAGTTTTCATAAAATCGTAAAGTATTCTCGGATCTCTAGCACCATTCAGTTCATCTTTAAATGCATCATACACAAGTTCCAACTGATTATTTGGCTCATAATGTGCAGAGTACGCGACGGCATTACCGCTCATGAGAATCGCTCGAGCGAATAGTTTTCGAGAATATTCGTTCAAGACGTGAAAGTGTGTTGAGTATCCACCTAAAATCAAAGTAATTTGCAATGTTATATATGTCATATAGTTTGAAGGCAGTCGGAAAAGTTCAAAAAGACCTGAACTATATCCAAAAACTGTTATGGCATCTGGATCACCACCAAAATATTTAATATTTTCGCTAACCCATTTCAAGGCTAATTGCTGATCTTTAAAACCCATATTTCCAGTCAGGCCTGGTAACTCAAAATTCATAAATCCTAACGGACCTAAACGATAATCGACTGTAACCAAAATCACACCTTCATCTTCCATGAATGTATCAGGTCCATAGAATCCACTGTGACCATCACCTTCAGTAAATGCTCCAGCATGTATGAAAAACATTACCGGCAGCAATTTATTCAGAAGATTGTAAGCTAATTTTTCGGTTAAAATTGATATATGTATTCTTTTAAAATAAATGTTATTTTATAAAATTTTCTTGAGTAAAAAAAACATTTTGTTTGAACATTTTATTTGAAAACTATTTTACCCGGTACGAAGACGTTTAAAAATAGGCAGTTTTCAGATTGTGTTGAATTCAATGGAAATAGCATTGATTGAACAAGAACTGGGCAAGCATCTTTGTATTTGTCAGAAGTTACAAGGATTTCATTCCATGGTTTCACTGGAACTGGAACCTGTTTATAACACACAATAAGCCAATCGAATAATTGTGTCGAAAACATTAACACTCAATGTAGGATGATACCTTATATCTTAGATCGCCAACTGGTGGTTCGGCATAGGGAATCCCTTTGAAAGATGTATAAAGCTTATTGCTTTTGTAGGTTTTTTGCCAAATACCGCTCACTAAACCACTTTTCGTCTTGATTATTATTGAACAGTTACAATTTATCAGAACAATAAGAAGCAAACAAAGAAACAAATTATGAAGTTTTGGTTGTAACATTTTGAATCCAAAATGTGAAAAAAAAGAATATCAGTCAAGAGATCAGTTCTAAAATAATCCGCCACTGAATTTGATAACTTCAGACACCATATATATACACAAGATTTAGGCATAAACAACAATAAAACGTTTATTAAACTCGTAAATTTTATGGCATAGTTGCGCCATAAAATACTTAAATGCGCGTTAAATCTTATTTCACGAAATTCATGCTTTCACGTTGTACAGTGTGCTACAGTTCATTAAAATTCAACTTTAAAAAATGAATTAAAACAAAAAAAAATCCTCCTGATCTCTACACATAGGGTTGGATCAATTTCTAGGGAGCCGAAAACGTCGATGTAGCGTACCCCCTCACGGTGTTCTTTGGATCAATTTAAGAATTTTTGCCATATGTCTAAAATGAATTTCGAGCCTCCAAATTTTTCTAGATAGATATTTTCCAAAATATTTAAAAATCGACTTAGATATTGCATTCAAAAAAACATTATTTTTTCTCTAGCCAAATGTCTATGCGGGGGTGTTTGGGGTCTGGGAATCCATTTTTGACATTTATTTTGCGATATAAAACATTTGTTTATATAATATCATTTACGAAATCCGAATATTTGTTGCAAAAATAAAGAATTTTTTATAATTCGGATTAAAATTTATTCACACATCGTTTCGAAACAGTATATGAGCTATAATTGAAAAAAAAAACTCGAACTATCTGAACAGAATGTACTATCTGCATTTGAATTTTGAAATTTCAATCTTCCAAATTTATTTTGTCGAAGTCGTTGCTTTCACGACATTCGTCGATATTTCGTTGGCTCTGCTCTTTTCTCATTTTACTGCTGCAAAATTCCAATTCCGTACACAATTGCTTTGGCGTTGCTGACAAAAGAAAACTAATCATAATCTCAGCATAATTCTCAACAGTGTCCTCACAATCGTTAAAAAATTTCGTTGGTATTTTATCGCAAACAGCGTGAACAGCATCATCGATTTTATCAATTGTGCTGTTTTCTTTGAGCAAATCATCGAGATGCACAGCGATTAGTTGGCACACAACACATTGTGGTGTATCAGAATATTCCACATTTTCTTGTTTTATGGCATCAATTTTGATGGGTTGCGTGGCACAAAAACCAAGTCCATGGCACATTTGTTTTGGTGGCATTTGTATCATGAGCGAGTTAACGATATAATCTTTGTGTGTGGTAACAAAATCAAAACATTTCTTTTTCAAATCCGCATTCGAAATTGATGAACAGGATTGTTGTAGAACAATTTCGATGTGTTCCTTGGATCGATTATTTCCTACTTTGGATTCAATTCCTTTTAGCAAATGTTGACACTCAAAGCACTCGTATGGCGATGCAGAAATTTCGTTTGAGCCATCGTCATGGGGCCATTGGTCATTTGGGCAAATATAAAGTTTTCTACAGATTTCATCAAGATCCAAACCGTCAACAACATCGTTGAAAAGATCATTCGAATATTTGTCAACCAAAGCCAAACACTTTGATCGGTATTTTCGAATTTCTTTACAAGAATCCTTCAGCAAACTCTTAAACTCACTTTCTGTGTTAGCGTCAGCAACATTGGACTCGCCTATCACTCGTGCTAATTCCAAACAACTCTCACATTGTTTCTTGTTATCGGATTTTAGTTGTTTACTCCAAATCGTTTGGAAACAATGCTTAACGGCATTACACGATTTTGCTATCCTGAAAGATAAATTTAAAAATAGATTTAATGATGTTATGACCATTTGAAGTGCTAATAACAGCACCGATAGAACAGAGAGAATTTATAAAAATGTGTCAGTGTCAGCATATGTTAGAAATCTCGAGTAGAAGAGAATTCAATATATATTCCAAGTAAAACACATTTTTGCTAGTACACTTTATCAGCTGCTTATGGTCCAAAGTATAAAGTACAAGACTGATGTGTGTTTATCATTTTTTGTTTCAGAATTTCTTTAAATGTAAATATGAAAAGACGACATTGATTCACGTTTTAATTTTAAAAGAATATAGTAGTCCAATGGAAATGAATATTCTGATATAATTTTCATCTTTATTCTGAAGCGATGACGATTGAATTGAAATTGAACTTACACTCTGCTTTGGCACCAGTACACTTGACCAAGAGCACATTTTGGATTTTGCTTAATTCGAGTTAGAGGTGATGATTCAACTTCTGAAGAAAACAAAAACAGTTCAAATTTCTATTGGGCAGTTAGTTGATTTTAACTAAATTCTATAAACCGAATGTTTTCCATGAAATGCACTTCATTAAATTTAATTGAATAATGAAAAGACGGAGTGTTTTTTTCAATATCACAAAACAAAACATACCATAAACTATAAATACACACAGCACCAATAGTAACAACTTCATGTTTTGCCTTTTATTTACAACTTTCTGCTTTCGTCTCTGCCAGCGTACTAAAACGCTGCAATATGAATAACAATTTTCATGCGTTCGATTCAATGACTTAATCTATATATAAACTTCCGCCAGTACAACATTGTACATAAGGTCACTTGCATACTACATTGACTCACATTTTATCTGTCAATGTTAACATATTTTATTAAACAAGTACAAAACACTTCTTTCGAAGTTCCCACTGTGACGCAATACTGTAAATCTGGAAGTGACGCGTTCGTTCATATAACCACAAAATCATAAACTATAAATAAACACAGCACCAGTATGTTGCCTTTTATTTATAACTTTCTTCTTTCGCATCTGCCAAAATGAAAGTAAAAAAAAGATACAGGTTCTACCGAGATTTAAGAATGTGTCTATGGGCTTTTTATGTTTTTTTTATTTTTTTCTCCCGTTTGATTGCAAGAATCGAGTGCTACCCGATACGAAATACACCATACATAGACACAAAACACGGCTATGACGACGGAACAAGCGGTGAAATGATTCGAACCTTGAAACGGTCATTCTTTATCGATTTGTGTACAACCAAGTACCGAGAACTGCTTGAGACGTCATTTTTATCGATTTGTGTACAACCAAGTACCGTGACCTGCTTGAGACGGTCATTTTTATCGATTTATGTACAATCTAGTACCGTGAACTACTTGAGACGGTCATTTTTATCGATTTGTGTACAATCTAGTACCGTGAACTGCTTGAGAAGGTCATTTTTATCGATTTGCGTACAATCTAGGACCGTGACCTGCTTGAGACGGTCATTTTTCAACGATTTGTGTACAACCAAGTACCGTGACCTGCTGAAGACGGTCATTTTTATCGATTTGTGTCAAAACGTCCCTAAATAATCGCCTGACTGACTGAGTAACTATAGTCGATTGCTTTCCATACAAAATTTTAAAATTCATGAATATAGCTACCTATAGTCACTTACAGTCAATAGTAACTTATTCACTTTTTTCCACTCGGGTATATTCAAAATAAAAATTGAAATGAAAAGAAATTTTAGGTCCTACCGAGAATCGAACTCGGATTGCTGGATTTCTCAGATCGCTGGATTCAAAGTCCAGAGTGCTAACCATTACACCATAGAACCGCTTGATATTTGGCGCGCAATTTGGGCACTCGTGAGACCACAACATGTATAGTTTTCGTATATTAATGCATGTATTATACAATCTCCTTTCACAGAAGATGACGAGCATGTGGGTAAGGTTTTAATTGAAAGGCATTCGAAATCTGTTTTATTTTAATGCTTATCATATATAGGTTTGTGTAAGAAATATAATGTTTCTCTATTAAAAATGATTTCATCTAGATCTTGCTATCATTCATATCATGGTTGAACAAAAAAACAATATATACAAAAATTGTAAATTTCGTATGAATCTGTTTTTTGCAATAAACAATCCAAACTGGGAAATAAGACGTGTCAACATGTACTTTCTAATTTGGTGCATTCGTCTTAGATATAAGAGAGATAACAGTATGGCACAACGTATTTTTTTTCTAGTTTTCAACGTACTAAAATTGCAATGTATGAATAAAAAAATGTATGCGTTCGCTTCAAAGACTTAATATTCCGCCAGTACGTACAGATAAAACAATTGCTTAGTACAACGTTGTACATAAGGTCACTTGCATACCACATTGACTCACTTTATATCTGTCATTGTTTACATATTTTATTAAATAAATATATCAACACAAACTTTTTTGTTTTGCTAATTATCGAAACACTGCCAAATGTGAACATTAATTTTAAATGCGATAAAACATTTTTGTATACTTTCTCGTTGTAAACATTTCAAATTTCTTTTTGTCAGCCAATGTGTTGCTTCTTTAAAGTATTTCTGCAGCGTTGGCTAGTTTGATTCTTTGAAAGGTTTATGAACCAAATCGCACCACACTGTTCAAAATAAGTTTAAATTGCATGATATAATTTGCATGCGAAATTCATGCGTTTGCGATTTTCGATACGATCGTCGAGTATTAAGGTCTGTTTTATGCCGTACAAAATTAGTCAATTGTCACAACAAGCCAAACAATTTAAATTGAATTTTTGACGAATTGGAAGAAAATTAAAGAAAATTTTACGATTAATTCATTGCGGTTTTCTTTCAACAAAAGAATAAATCACAATTAAATTCATTGTCAACTAATATGCTGAATAAAATGGACTCATTCAATTCTTGACAAAACTACAAATCTATGCATTTTTATTTGAAATGGTATTCAAGGTGAAGAATTTCTTTCTTTCTTGTTAGAAAAATTATCGATTAATTGCTCAGTTAAATAAATTCGTATATTTTAGTTTAAATTTTAACAAAGATTGTGAATATTTTCTCTCTGAATATTTAACGTCGCGAAATGAATAAGTTCTTTATCAGTCGATGTGTTGCTTCTTTTCTTATTTCTGCAGCATTGGCCCGTTTGATTTTTTGAAAAGCTTATAAACAAAAGAGCACATCACTGTTTAAAATAAGTTTAAATTGCATCAGATAATTTGCATTCGAAGTTTGAGCGATTACGATCGTCGAGGATGAAGGATCCGCTTCATGCATTAAAAAAGTTAGTCAAAACGCTGGCAACAAGCCAATTAGGAGACAATTAAAGAACGTAAAAACAATGGACTATCACGGCTTTGTGTGGCACGCATACTACGAATGTAACAATCCAATTCACGGAAAATACAATTTCAACTTTATTAACAGTCGAGCAAACGTTTCGAAGCCATGTACCATATGCAGCAACATAATATATCCTACACGTTGTGTAAGTAATACTATGGTTCGATTTCAACCATAAGCAAATACACGTGTAAAACAAATTTTTTTTTTAATTTTTTTTTCTTTTCAAAACTTAAATTAAAAATCTGTTTTTTTACTATTCAATTAAAAATTGAAATTAAAATTTAATACTTTGATCATTCAATTTCAGATACCTTTCCGAAATGGCTGGATCACCATTGTAAATGACACTAATGGTTAATAATTGATTGCTGTTATCTTTCAAGATTGAAAATCATAAAAGGACCTAGTTCAGCTCTTGACAAGACTACAAATCTAAGCGTTTCTTTTATTCAAAAGGCAATTTGAAGTTGAGAATTTCGCTTGGAAGTTTCTCTTGTGGTTAGATAGAATCTAGGGGATATCCATGCGAATTAGAATTAGCACATTAGCAAAAAATAGGGAAATTTACATGAAGAAAATAGCAAAATTAGCAATAAATAGCAGAATTAGCACTGTACACGTATATACTTTAGTAAGCATTTATTCTTGAATATATTGAAATAATTAATTAAAATAAAATTCACAAAACAAACGAATTGAATAGTATTGAACTAAAATGTATCAAAATATGTAGTTTAATACGCTTTTTCTCATTTTTAAATAAAAATATATTCAATGGCACGTAACCAAGCACGTTTCATCTGTATTAACTACAATTTACGAATTGCAATCGGAAATGTAGATTTGATGACAGATTTCTTACTGAAAACGTATATGCTAGTGCCTGCTTCAAATATACACGTTGAAAGTGTCAACTTGAAACATTTACGTAAACACATTTCAGTTATTCGATCATGCTGTCAATCTGACGTATGCAATATTTTTGACGTACTAGAGAAATTAGCAAAAAATAGCAGTATTAGAACAAACTAGTAGAAATACTAGCAGAATTAGTGAAAAATAGAGAGAAATAGCGTTTATTATTATAAATTATTCGATCTGCAATTCACGGTTATCCCCTAGGATAGAATAGTTACATTGATAGATCTTTTGTATTTTAACTTTAAAACTCCTTTAGAATTTCAACAAAAGAAGACTTCGATAACAATGTATTTTCATCTACATCAAAGTTTTAGGATAAAAATAGCTGACGATCTCATCGATTATTATTCAGTTCCAAATTTTTGATACCATGAAAATCATATTCATTGCATCGTCGCAGAAGATAATTTGATAACCAAATTTAGTTATAAGCAAAAATTAAATGCCGATCACTTTGAAACTGATAAATCATCGTAATCCACAACATTTATTTTATTAACTTTTGTTTAAAATTGCTATAAACGAAGAGATAGATAATTTTTTTTGTCAAATTTCGGTTTTCGCATACATCTGTGTGTATGATTAAACAGCCGGTTTATTTTCACTTGTCAAATGACCGGCAAATGAAAGCCTGAACCCTGCTGAATATATTTTAATTCATTATTTATGAATCATTTGTTTTTTATTATATATTTTAGACAAAAATTTATACACCATGCCTAAAGGCAGGGCTATGCACTAGAGGGTTAAGACAGTACATTAAATAACAGAAAAAAGATTTAATCATTTTAAAATCAGTGAGGAGAAAACATTCAGTTACGTGTGATTAAAATCTTTTTCAAATCGATCGAAATAATGACGATTAATAGACACTACATTTTCGCTTAAAAATTTAAATTTGATTATTTTCAGTTGTGATGCCATCTATTGACTTCTGGTGTTCTCACCAACTGTCATCGCGTTCATTGGAATTTTGACATTTCATTCAGACAATTCACGAACAACTACAAATCAGCGAAACAGCACATTCAGTCATGAAAATTCAACAAACAATTTCCTAAAACTAATATTCCAACGACTTTCACAAAAGATTCTCACAAAGGCGATCAAAAAATACATAGTAAAATGCCATTCGTTTGGGATGATTTTGAAGCATTACTGTTGGACGACGAAGAACCATATGATGAACAGCAATTTGTAGTGGTGCGAAAACTTCATATTCGACCAATCGCGGCTGCATTTAAACCATTGGTATGTATGCAAATCTGTGAAAAAAAAAAATATTTTTTTTTTATCAATTTCAAATGTCTTTCAATAGCCCATCCCAGAATATACTGTAGATCAGATGAATGTACTTCTGCGGAAATTCGGTGATATTGAATCGATTGAAATGGTGGCAAACAAAACATCAGAAGCGTACGTAACGTTTGTCAGTGATCGAAATGCGTATTTGGCATACTTGCAATGTAAATACAGCAAAAAAGACGGTGCAAGACAACGATTTGATGTTCAGCCGGCCAATACATGGGAACAACCACAAGAACGTACAAATGATGCATCCTTTCAAAACGATATGGATGTTGACAAATACAACCCCGAAATATTCGCACTGAATGAAGATTGTCTGTTGCATATGTGTAAATTTTTGGATCTCGATTCTCTCGTCTCTCTAGCGTATGTGTGTAAAAAGTTTCACACGCTACTACATCAGCGATGGTTTCCAAACATTCGGAAATATGTCCTCAAAAATGAGGGAGTTCGAACTTTAGCCAAAGTTCGCCGTACCATGCTTTGCATTGGTCGACATATCACTGATTTATCATATGAGTCCGATTACGACGAGGAAGTCAATCGGACGCCAAAATATTTGGAAGTCATTGCACAGAATGTTGGACCACAGATTCGTCGGGCTTATTTATCACTTGAATTTAATAGAGATGACTGTATTTCAATCCTTAAGCCGATGCTACAACATTTGGAATCGCTACGCGTTAACGATTTTAATGAAGATCAGCCCACGTATGACATCGATTTTCATGCATTATGCCCGAATTTGGTTGAATTTGAAGTGAACGTGGAGATGCCGATGATTGCATGTTGTAAACCATGGAGTAGTTTGAAATGTATTTCGGTGCCGCCATGGACCATGAAAACCAAGACCTTTATATCGTTTATCAAACAAAATCCACAGCTTACGAGCTTGCACTTCGATTTGCCTGAAACTAATAAAAGGATTGTTGCGGTCAATACTTATCTACCAGCTTTGGAAAAGCTATCAATTCGATTCCGTTCGAGTATTACTTTAGTTGCCAAAAACTTTGCTTGTTTGAACGGTCAAAAATTATCAGAAATTAAGGTGACAGACCTTTCAAGTGAACAAATCCAATCAGTTATTTCACATTTGTCGACGTTTAAAAGTTTGCGGAAAATATGTGTGTCTATGAGTTCTTCCAATTCCATCAATTCTTGTTCCGAATCTCTGATTAATTTGGCAAAATTACCTCATTTGATTGACTTGACATTGTCTTATATTTCATTTGACGGGTCAACCTTATTGGATATCATTCGATTTGGATGTCAATTGGGAACCCTTTACATTGAAAATGATGTATTGATTTTCACCGATGAATTGATTTCGAATATTGTCGAAGTTTGTAAGAACCATCGACCATCATCAAGTGGTGCCTTGCATTTATATTTAAGGAAATATGTTTTGACGAAATTGCACGTTTATCAAAACAAGGAGTTCGAGCGATATTTACAGCTAAAGGTTTGGGCTAGGATTTGAGGCTGCTGACATTAAATTCGCTTTTAAACTCATTTTTTATAGTCACTCAATGATATTGTTGAATGGAATTGACTTCGAATTTATTGGAAATGTTAGAGAAATCCCCATAGTTTGGTTTCTCATGTAAATAAAGTAAGTTAATCTATAAAAACTCAATGAGCCATTCCGTTGCAAATCATTTAGGTATAATTTTGAAAATTATTTGCGCATATAATAAAGAATTAATAAAATAAAGTTATAATGCAGTTCAAAAAAAATCCTCATAGACCAAGAGCCACCGTGCAAATTACTTTTTTTTCTGTGTACGGCAGATTTTCATGAGATTATCATCTTCACACTGTGTACTGTCCGAATAATATCACTTTTTTCATTGTAATTGGGCGGATCGCGAGATCCGCGGTTTTATTCGCGCTACACGAAATAGTATACTTTTTTCGCACCAATCATATTCGTTCACGTTCGGTTTACGTTCGGTTCACGTTCATTTTAACTGTTCAAAACTGTAAACTTCAAAAGATGGTTGTTGGCCCTTGGGAAAATTTAAAAAAATTCAAAGCCTTAAAACCTCATTAGATTTTTTTTCCCAAAATATCAATAAAAGTGGCAACCAAATGCAAACTTTAAACACTTTCAACATATTTCAAAATATCTTAATATTTCCCGAATATCAGGTAGTAATTCATTTAAAAATTATTAAATTAGAAATATCGTTGAGAGATAAATTTTTTTAGTTTGGATATTGAGGCAATTTAAATAGTTCTTTTTTCTGTTTATTATCACTATTTAAATTCACAATTATCAAATATGAAAAATTTTAGGAACTGAAAGATAAATTTTTATGTTTTTGATAACTAAGCGATTGAAATGATTTTTTTATTCTTATTAGCACAGTTTGTTTTGAATAGAAATCAGAAACTATCCAAAAATAATCAGTTTGAGATTGTCATGGAAGCGCTTTTCATTCATATGAGTGCAATTTTGAATTTATGAACTGAGAGATGAAAATTTTTGTTTTTCGTATTGAAGCGATTTAAATTACGTTTTTTTTTCATTATCATTATTAAAATTCACACAAATTAAAAAAGAAACAAAAACAACTCAATTTCAAATATTCGTAGAAAAAATTTGATCATATAGTAGCGTAATATATGAGACACATTGAATTCAGAAACCTTCAGATGAAAATGTTTATTTTTTTGTATTTAAGCTATTTCAATAGTTCATTTTGTTTTTATTGGCAATATTTAAATTCACTCAAATTATAAAACTATTAACGACTATTTAATTTTAAATTTTAATTGAACAAATTTTCATCAATATGGTGCCATCGAAGGAGAATTTTTTTATGAAAATGTGTAGTTGAATTGCTTTCCATAGTTTTGTGATTTCTAACTATTTATATTCTGTTTTTATTCTGGAGAATTCAACTGAACAATTCTCGTTTGTTCAGGTTCGTTCGAAATAAAAAAAATCTGTTCATGTTCATTCGCGTTTCGTTCAAATTGTTCAAAATATGTAAACATGCCGTTCATATTCGGTTCATATTCGGTTCAAATTCGAATGAACCGAACGAACATGAACGGTTCAGTTCAGTGGGCACCTCTAGCACCAATACGGCAGATTTTTGTGTTAAATTCTCCCTTTTGATCCAACTATATTGAAAAGTAAAAAATCTGCCCAAATGAGTGGGCAAATTGTTCAAAAACCAACAAAATAAACAATAATATTGATGAATTTGACACAAGGTATTGAACGCACCCATTGTATCAACTGACATTTGTGTTTCGTTGAGTAATGGTAGTGTCATATTATTGTTTATTTTGTTGTTTTTTGAACAATTTGCCCACTCATTTGGGCAGATTTTTTACTTTTCAATATAGTTGGATCAAAACGAAGAATTTAACACAAAAATCTGCCGTATTGGTGCGAAAAAAGTATACTATTTCGTGTAGCGCGAATAAAACCGCGGATCTCGCGATCCGCCCAATTACAATGAAAAAAGTGATATTATTCGGATAGTACACAGTGTGAAGATGATAATTTCATGAAAATCTGCCGTACACAGAAAAAAAAGTAATTTGCACGGTGGCTCTTGGTCTATCATTTCATTTCTCATTAAAATGTTAACAGTTGGACCATGGTCGAATTGGAGATGACATTTTTCCTCCAATTCCATATTGAGAAGGTTATTCCAAACGTTTACAAATAAAAAAAACTGGATACATTTAATAACTCTTAAATATCAATATTTATTTCGAACAGTGATATCGATGTGGATTTTTCAAATAATCAATTGAGTTTGCGTTTCTCAAGTAATATAGAGTGTGTGGTGGTGTCTAAATCTTTAATCTAACATAATCGTATTGATACGTTAAATAAACTGAAGAAATAGATATAATTTGGCGAGCGGAGTGAACCGAAATTCCTTTAACCTTCAAACGCACATGTGGGGTCTCTTAGGCCCTAAGAGTTAATTTTTTGAAGAAAATCACATTTTCAATATCATATCTATGAGATACAATCGAAAATTTAAATGTTTGGTGCATAGATGAAGTTTTGGGAAGTCTTATACAAAATACTAACGTAAAAGCACAACGGGGTCTTTTGGACCCCAAAGTATTTTGTATGGGAAATGATGCATTCTGTATGGGCCAATATGAAACTCATGGAGATTTGTTGACACAACAATTTACATTTCATCAAACAACAACACAGTAAATTGTTTCGTCCGTGACGTATACTGTTCATCGCAAATCAAATGGCATTTGCCATTATAATATATTCATACATTGTTTTTTTTTGGATAGGATAGATCCGTAAGATCTCCACAAGAGCTTGATCTAAGCGTGCATACGCCGCCAAAAATGATGCCGCTATGAACTCTGACATATACCATACTGTATTAAATTCTAACTTTTTAATAGTTTTCATTTGGGAAATATACTCAACAGCTTCATTATCAATCTTCATATAGTAATCTAATTTTAAATGTTCTATTGGCACATTGTTTGACAACAATTCTCGTATCAAATGTATAATCATACATTTTTTATTTGCATAGTGTCGAATTTCTAAAATTTTCAAACGTTTTAGTTGACCAATCACTGAATCATGTTTCCCAGACTCGTAATCATAGAAAATCCAACAATCGCTGGTATATGAGAAAACTTCAAGTTGAGTATTAAGGGATAAAAAAAAATCAAAGAAGATATGTACGAATCTTTTGTCGGTGGAGAAAAATCAATTCTAAATGCCACTAATTTCTGTAAATTAATTGGTGGTAGAGGATATTTACACCAAAAATCATCTAGACTCAGTGCACTTAGTTGAGAGCAAATGGGTAATAAAGAATCAAGACAACTGTGTGCTAGCCTGTATGAAAGCTCCACATGTAACGTCTCCAAACGCGTAAATAATGGAATCAATTCGCTAAACCTATGTATATCTATTAAATAAGATTGATCGTAAGATAAATCGACTTTACGAATATTCTTGCAATGTTTGCTAATCATTCCCAAAAAGATTTGCTTTTTTTCTTCCCACTTTAGATACGTCATTTTTTTGACATCTATTTCATAAATGGTTGGACCAAAATCACGTAAATAATCATTTGCTTGTTGTAATGGTAATGATAGCAAAGTCTCCACTAAAATATCCATGTTGCTTTTGTATGCACAATTCTTTTGTTTTTTTGCCAAACATTCCTTAGAAATCTTATAGAAACGAACACAAACGCTTAACACTGAACATTGGTCTTGAAAAGGTAATTGCTCGAATATTTTCCTTAAGCAATCATCATTCAGAATGTTGAGAATTTTTTTTGGTGAATTTTCATCTGGTGCTTGCAATAATATTTCATAAATATTGATTTTCTCGTTCACTCTACCAAAATTCTAAAATTTACATTTAGTTCGTTTTATTTTGAATATATCGTCTCCAATTTTTATTTGTTGTTTTAACAATGCTGCATCAACACTTTGAGATTCATAAAATTCAACATAGACCCAGCAATAAGCATAACGTTTGTCCTTTTCTACAAAAAAATGGATATCTTTAACTGCTCCGAATAGCTTAAACGATGAATAAATTTTGTATGTAGATAGCTGAAATGAGAAAAATCTATTTGATAAATTCACTTATCTTTTAAGAATGCACGAAAAATGGAAAAATCTCACTTTATTATGATCAAGAACTGCAAGTTTGAACGAACCAAAACCCCTAGACTTGATTTTTGTTCTCTGAAATGAGAAATTAATAATTTCAAATTATCAATGAAAATTAGAGATGTCAAATCGACTCGCAATAGTACATACAGAAATCGCAGTAAATTTTTCAAATTTAGAAATCTTACTTTAATTGCAAGAAGACGGATAACAATTGCTATGTTTGAATAATCAATTATTGATTGTTGATTTTGAACCGTTTTTATGTCTGTAGTAGCACCATTAAACAAAAATCGTAGAAAATTCATTTCAATGAAAATAAATTAAGTATTTTTTCACAGAAGAACAATAAAAACACAGAGTTGGTTTTTACTTGGTTCGTGAGTTAAAATTTTAAACGCAATTTTATCCTTTTGGAATATGTGTAAATCAATGTCAGAATGTGACATAAATTTGTTTATTGCTGACAATTGGTTGCTTCACTTATACAGAATACTATATAAAGCATCTGTCAAAACAATTTGACATTTTACACCGGGTTGCCATGTAGAAAACTCAACCATGTAATATACATTTGTATAATCACGCAAATATTCTCTTTCTCATAACCAGGGATGGTCTACGTCAAAAACTGTAGTCTACATTTTCGACGTCAAAAACCTAATTTTTGTCGAAAACTCCTAAAACTTTGAAAATATCTAGAACGAAACACTCGAATGACATTTTTCAAAAGAAGAAGGAGAAAAAAATAACATGTTGGCCGCTTTTGTTTTGCTAGGAGCACTTTTAAAATGTCAGTATGCTTTTTCACGAATCCATGCTGATTATGGTTGATTTTTCCATTGACGAATGTATCGATTTTGCCATAAACCATAATTTTGAACAGTTTTGCCATCGTTGGAATTACCACAGCTGGCCGGTAATTCGATGCATTGCTTTTTTTCCAGATTTAAATATTGGTACTATTCTAGAATTTTTCATTGAAGCCGGAACACATCCTTGATTCAATGACTTACAGAATAGCACTGTCAACGGTTTTGCCAATGAAAGCGCCTTTGCCAGTCCTAAATTTATACCATTATGTGTATCTAACAAGCTAAATAAATTATTCGGTATAAAATCCGCCCATGGTGCGACTTTGAAAAGAGGCACAATAAAGGGGAGGAAGGGTATTTACGAATTACTATAAATACCAATATTGGGTCCGAATCCGAGAATGTCAAACAAGCAGCTAACAAAGATTTAATAAACGAAATCGATAACAATAAAAAAAAAATAATAATAAATGAATTAATTTTGAGATTCGCGAAGCCATTGCTCTAATTGAAATTCAAATGAATTAACCGAGTCGCAATCTTTAATTGTATTTGGAATTGAATTGAAAAATTAATTGCCGCGAAACCGATTTACCGCGATACTTGAATTTGCTTATGACGAAAATTGTCAAAAATGTCGAAAATTCGCCAGAGTTTTGTCAAAATTCGTCAAAAATGGAATCTCGTCTCCGCCGTATTGATTTTGGTGAAGTGATTTTTGTTTACGACGGACTTTCCATAAAAAGAGAAATTGCGTATCAAAATGCACTTCTCGGAGAAGAGTTAAATCAAGTTTCTGCCGTGAAAATGATTGAAATTCACGACTATAAATTGAATGATGTCGAAATAAAGAGATTGGTGCGAATATTGAAGAAGGAAAAAAGCAAAAATATACAAAAATTGAAATTGGTGAATGTCTCCAGCGACACATACAAATAAAAGGACATCAGTTCGTACATTTTGGCTGGAGTATCAACGTATGTATTCTATTGTTATTCTATTGTTATTAATACACCATCATTTGGAACATATTTATCACCACGAAACTTATATTCTGCAGATTGGACGCCATTGAAGATGATGAAGATGTCGTTTCTCCACCGACTTGCCTCAAAATGATCGATGTTTGGGCCGTCGTGATCGCATTCCTGGCAGCAACCATTGCAACTATCAATTATTTAGAACAATATGTCCAATTTGAAATATTTGCCTTTGCCTTTCAAATAATAAGTGCTTTTTTGTTTTTATCGAGAGTCGAGCGCTATCCATATAAATACATTGTGACGTCACACATCTTACACAGAAACGACATCTTTGTAAAACAGACTA